CACGTACAATCCCAACATGCCTTTCAAATGGAATGCTGTTAGAATTCAAGTGTTACCAAATCAGGTGTGTGTGATATATTATGTTTGCTTTCCTCACTATAAAATATCAAAATAATTATCTTGCTTTGCTTTTCAGTATTTATTGTTTGCACGTAGCTTTAATGCCTCAAATTTTGTTCTGTTTTACCACATAAGGAAATGCGGTATTCTTTGATCAGTGTGAATAATGTTTCTACCGAGGCAGTGTCTTACTCTATTTTCAGTTTTTAAATAGCATTAGAGAAGCTTTCAGAAAGATTCCAGAGGTTTATCTTCAATATCTAAATGCACAAATCTGTGTTCTTACATTTGGAACAATAGATGGATGTTCATATCTTAGAAATAAATTAAGCTTCTCTAACTAAAAACTGCTTGATGTATTTAAAAATTTTAAGATTTATTGTGACTTTCTATTAATCTATACTAAAACTATTAAAAAGGTATTAATTGTATTGTGAGATTTGGCTTCCTTTTTATATGTACAGCTTGTTCAGTCAACCAGTAACAATCGAGGAGTGGGCCTTGGGGCTCCTGGTGGGCTAATTTCTTCAGGAGGTATAACGTTGCATCCCAACCCCTCTGGTCTGTCTCAGAACATTATTCCAGCCATGCCTAGTATGGGTAATCAGACTGCAGGACAATACAGCTCAATCACAGGTGGAGGTAGATATAATTCTTTTGCGTTGAAATATTTTGAACTTAATAAAGGTTCTCTAAAGTATCTGAGTAAAATTAAGTAAATATTCCTTCTCTTTGTTTCTTAAGTATATAATACTGTACATAAGTTCAACTATCATCATGAGTGACTCAGTTGCTTCATTAGAAACCAAATTACTCATGATGATAGTTGAATTTTTTTCATATTTCTCTGTGTTTGTAGTGAGAATAAAGTTTTAGTCATTCTGCTTCTCGGGTTAACAGTCTGGTCTTTGACACACACTTTGACATGAATAAGCATTAAAATTTAGGTAAAATATTAGAATGAAAGCACAGTTAAAGTCAGATAATTTTATTCTCACCGTATCTTAATATTGACTTCATAATGCAGGATAGAGTATGCCATTTAAGAAAATAATCTATTAAGTTTTCTTTTAGTCTTTGTAGCTGGTGTCATCTAGTAATTAGAAAATACCGCCATTTGGAATAAATGTGTGAAATGCAGGTTTCTTTCTCACTTACATGACAGCAAGAAAATAAGTAAAATATAGGAACTGGGTTTCAAAAAAATATTTTAAAAATGTACTTTCAGATGATACTAGCAGTTCTTTTAACCTTTAACTCGTTCTGAGCTGGAAGGAGGAGGATTCATTGATATACTCTGATTTTTTTCTTTTGTATAGTCAAAATGCTTAACCAAATACCATGAGACTTGGAAAAACTTAATGAATAATGTTATACAGTCTTTAGTAAAAAGAAATATTATTTGTCTTAGAATTTCTATAATATTTTTGATTGTGAAATTTCCAAACTCTTATTGTAAGACTGTTTATAAAACTATTAAAACTACTTCCTTTTGTCTTTGAATTGCAATTTTGTTTATTGTTGATCAGAAAATTTGGTTTTGTATATCTGTTCCCTTTCAATTTGATTGATATTCTGTAACATTTCTTTTGACACTATTTTGCCAATTGCAGTAATTTCCACTTCTATTAAACCATAAAGAAATGAAAAAATATGGTAAACATTGACAAAGAATTAGGTGCATTATTTAAGTAAATAAAAATATTGATATTTGGAGGTTATGCAAATGAAATTTGACAATTTTCAAATGAAGAAAAGTATTTTTAATCTTAATATGAAAATCACTTTGCACTCAAAGCTGTCAACACTCTAACTCTATATATTCACTGATAATTTAGTAAAAATATGATTTTTTGTGTACAAAAGACTTAATGTTTACTGAAAGTTTGGTAACTTTTGTGATGATACACAAATCATACCAAAAATTATAGCATGGACAATCTGATGCTCACTCTGGATTAAATGGTTATTCACATTAACTGAGACCATAGCAAGAGGGTTAGTGTATAAACCTTGTAATTAGAAATTTAAAATATTACTGATACAGTTGTCAATTAAGTTATGACATATATTTTTTAAATGTAAATAATTAACTCTGAGTGAATTTAGAACATAATATAGTACTAAGAGTCATTCTATTCATGTCTCACTACATTTTCCCTGTCATATAGCCCAGAGTAGAAATATAAAACATTATGTTGCTTTCTATCATATTTATTATTTTCAAAATATCAAGTGTAAAATCTCTTTAAGATAGAATGAAATTTGTGTGAAATTAGTTTCTGGTAAACCAAATTTCAAATATTTAGAATGGGTTGGATCAGTTATTTTAGAAGACAATGAAATCTTCAAACTTTATACAATGCAGGTGAAAGAGATATGGTTGATTTCAGAATTCTGAACTAGATAAATGATATTCAATAAAAGTTTACATGTGAACCTACAAGCTGTGTTTCCAGAAGTTAGCTGATAAATTTTGTATTTCATCTAGAAATCTATCAAAAGAAGAAATTAGTATCAGAGTCAAATGCAAAGTTTGATATTCTAGAAGTTGCTTTTATAAGAAGTTTTTTGATGGGAGTTGTTTTAATATAAACTTAACCCAAACATTTTGTTTCTAGTATCTGTAGGGAACAGAATAAGTTCTAATTTTCCACCCATTCGACGACATTCTCCTCCTCTCAGAAGAGATAGAGATCGAGATATAAGACGAGAAGAAATTAGAAGGGATGACAGAAGAGATCGTTACAGAGAGCGAGAAATTGAAAAAGAATCATTTCCATCCTCTTTATCTTCAAGAAAACGTTCTAGGTCTCCAAGAAGAGCTAGCCACAGTCCTCCACGAAGAAAACCAAGGGTGGTACCAAGATACACAGTACAGATCCCAAAGATCTCCCTTGACCTGTGAGTATCAGCTGTTACAAATTTTTATGATATTAAAGCTTGAAATTTTTTAAATTGTTCTCTTTCTTTATAATTGATTAAATATCAGGGTTATGGGACTGTTTATTTCACTATATACTTTTTATTATGTAACTTTTTTTTTATGCATCTGTGTGTGATGCAGCATCATTTGTCCAAAAAGTTTTCTACTATTTTTGTTTAATTATATTTTATAAAGAGTTATAAAGCTCAAAGTAACAAAACACATAGCAAAGAATTAAACCTTACACAATCCTTGGTCACTTATTTTGTACCTAGAAAACGATTACAGCATGAAAACACTAAGGAAGAAAGACATTAGTGTTTCAGTTCTAAGATCAGCTACTAAGTGCTTATATATAATCCTGAATTTCACATATTACTCATAATTTATTCTGGGGAAAATTGTGATTTTCTTTTTCCTTAGTCATGAAGGAAATGTCATGGAACTTCGAAAACGCTACTCCAGTCTCTATATTCCATCAGATTTTTTCTCTGCCTCTTTCCTGTGGCAAGATGCATTTCCTCCTCACCGACCATTTAGTTTGGACCATACTTGTACATTTCATGTAATGAGTAAGGATGTAGATCCAGTTGGGGAGAACGACGCTATTCTAGAACCTACTGATGTGGATCATAGATTTAGTGCTAAGGTTAGTAAATGTTTTTTGTTGTTTTTTTCTTGTGATAGATAAATTTATTTTATTTTTTAATGTTTAAGTTGTTTTTAGTGTGTTTTGATTGCTCTGTGTTTCAAACAATGTTTTATTCTATTTGTAATCATTATTTTAAAACTACAATGTAAAAGTGTTTTTCTTCAAAGATGTGTCACAAGAAAGCCAATTCTCTTCGTTTATAAAAAAAAACGTTATATAAATATAATTCTGTTGGAATGAAATGTTAGCAGATTGTATAATAAAAAATAATTGAACTTTCATTTTGCTTGCTTTTGAAGTTACTTTGAAATAGCTTTTCAATATTATAATAGTAAATGTATGTAATAATATCATTGTGGAATGACTAATTATCGAATAATACAATACAAGTCTTTTTTTTTTCTTTTATCCATTAAATAGTATGATGCTCCCTGCAGAGCTTTGGAAAAAAAAAAGTTCTTTTTTTGTTTTATCTTCAAATTAGTCTAATTATTTCAAGCCTAAGAATCTTAAATAAGTAACTATGTTTTAAGAATTCCATGTTGAACACTGTTAAACAATATGACTTGCTTGAACTGTGGAGAATTAAGCTTTGGGCAGTTTCAAGGAAAGAGGAAAGTTTTGAAATTGGGGATTTTTGAATTTCACACATAAAGATTGAAACTTAAAATCATATTTAGTGCTAAATAAAAAGTCAGGATATTGTGACATTTGTACTAAATGTCTTGTGTAACATAAATGCAACGAGTAATTGAAATTGTCCTAATAGTGTTTGTTAATGATGCAACTTAATCATTATGGGAAAATATCAAGTGGCACAACAATGTGTATACACATGTAAACTGTAAATTTATTGACGTTACAAAAACTTTTTTTTCACTTTAACTGAAAGAATGCTGTGGTAAAAATATCATTAGCCATTATTTTCATAATGTTAACTAGTTCAAAAATTTTATGTCAAAATTTACATTTTTTTATTTGTTTGTTTTATGCCAATGGAGTGAAATTGATTACTTTATAAAACCTTTGTCTGTGTTATCATTGGTAATGCTCTGGATTAATGAATCAGAAATTAATTATGTGTATTGATCATCTTTATATCAGTCATTTCATGTTTTACTATGTGAGGTTGTGTAGGAAATGTATGAGGTTCTGTGTTTGACATGTTTACCAAAAAAAAGACTCGTGTTATTGGAAGTGAAGTGTATGTCAAAGTACAATGATAATGTACTTAAATTTCTTTAAATTGCATTTTCATAAATAATTTTCCAATTATTTCTTTGATATTATGGATAAAATATCAACTCTTTGACTATGTTCTGGGTGGATTCCACCTAGTCTGTTTCCATCAAAGTAACCATAAAGCAGTTATACTGTAGCTTTTTAAAATGTACAAGTATCTTAACAAAATTTTAGCAGGTTATCAGGAATCATTGCACAAAATCAATGATTTGTTTATGCATTTTTCCTTTTTGAATGTTTACTATTTCACATGCAAAGTAATTTTGATTTTAAGATTAAAGATACTTTTATGCATCAGAAAATTGTCAAATTCCACATGCAAAATCTCTATAACTTCCAAATAATTATCAAAAGTTTTGTTTAAAAAAAAAACTTTATATTTTACATATTATTTTCTCTTATCTCTGTACAGGAACCACCAGGAAAAATTAAGAAATAGATCTGAATTACACTCTTTTTGTTCTAGAACGACTACAAATTATACCAAAGCCACAAATGTTTATTCTAGATAGCTTAAATCTCGTACATTATACATCTCTATATATTTATTTTATTGACCTTTCAGCTGTGTTTGACCAACATTACAGAAGTTGCACACAGGCACGTGCAGCTTTATATTACTGTATCCAATAGTATAAAACTGGCCTTTACAAAGTGCAACTGTCTTAGCTTTGTTGTAGTGGACCAGTAATTTGTAGAATACAATCACATTTTAGTTATAGTACAACAGGTCTTATAGCAGATTAAAGGTTTGGATAAGAATTACCCTTTTATTTCGAGTGTTGTAGCATTGCACGTTATATGAGCAAAAATAGCAGTCATCTTCGCAGTTTCTAGGCTCACGCCAGACCATTGGAATTCCAAAATGCAAAGACTTTTTTCTTACCTTTAGTCCATTGTCTCAACTCTTCGATACAAATGGTGCAAACTTTGTGTGGAGCCCAGGATTTGTCTTGGTTTTATAGTGTTATTCCAAAATACGTGTAATATGCTTTTTTGATGAATTCTGTAATGATGACAGTCTTATCAATCATTCTAGAACCCATGAGAAACACCCTGCTAGTATATAAATGGTTAACAGGCCGCACGACGTGTCATTTCTGAATGGTGTTTGTGCGTTCAATTTGACATTTTTTCTTTTCAATATTATTTATTTGCTGCTATGGCAACAAGAGGCTGTGGTAACTTTGTTGTAAAGAAACAATTTTTTTTGCTCATATAACGTGCAATGCTACAACACTCGAAATAAAAGGGTAATTCTTATGTTGCGATTGGTATAGAAAAATCTATAGCCAGTGGCTGTCAACATTTTAAGCATAACAAAATGTGAACCAAGTTTAATGAAAGTTTTTCACTTATGTAAATGTACGTATGACGTTTTGTGAAAAATCCGTATGTGATGGAGAAAAATGGATATCATTTTCGGATTCAGCATACAGGAATTACAGTAGAACATGTAAAAATTGCAAGATAATATAACTATCACAGGCCTGTGTAATTGTAATTCACCCCACCCCACTTTTTAGAAAACAAATGGTCATCATTGGAGCAATAATGGATGTGGTCCAGTTTGATGCACTGTTGGTAACTGTGGCTGAATGATTGGTATTAATTTACATTATTATCCATTTCATAGTGTATACAAATGCATCATTGTACTAAGTTCCTGCATTGCACAGTGCATTTTATCAATCAAATAAATGTATGAATATTCCTGAAAATTGCATTTGTATGCTTGAAAAATCTTTGTAATAAAATAGGCTTACCATTACATTTTATAAAAACTTAAAGTTAGTGAAATGCAGATTTGATGGATAACTGTGGATCCCAGTAAACACAATGAATTTGTTTTAGATATTCTTTAAAATGTTTATGCATGATATATGCAAAATCTTGACATCAAGGGCAAGTAAGTAACACATTTAATACATGTAATTCATATACAGTGACACTAAAATATTTCAGAGTATAAATGAGGAACAAGTGGCCATTAGATTGAAGGAATGGAAATTTCGGTGAAACAAATATCTTATATCTCAAAAGTTTGAATTTTTTTATTTTGTTACTTTTGATTTTTGATCTTATTTTTATTGTGAAACCACAAGAGCTTACTCATTAATGTAGTAATTGAATAAGTTTTATTGCTGCATTGTTTCGTGTATTTATAATTAAGCTATAAACTTTTTATTTAAAATTACAATTATCTTCTATACTTAGTTAATACTTGTGATTTTTTTATGAGGACAGCTAGAAATAATAATCATTTTCACAGTAACTGCTTTAAAATATCAAGGCAAAACCATCCTCTTGATCACAGTGTCTCAACCTTTTCGATATCAAGAGCCTTTTGCTGCCTCCCTAAAATGTTGCATACCACTAAAATGCAAGAACAATACCATTGTGATTTACATATAAATATTCTGTCAGTCTTGTTTATTTCTTTGCTTTCGTGAAATCCCATAGATTGGCTAGGTTGTTGAGAACACTGCTCTTAACAGGATAGACAGGATTTTGGTAATGAATTTAAGGGATGCAGAATTTAAAGAGAGAGTTCATACAACAGATTATACACCAATTTCTTGCATTATAGATAAATTTTAGAGCAAAATTTAGGAAAATATTTTTGTAGTTTAATGTTTTTTAGGTAGGATATGAGAAAGTTAATTGCTCTATGTTAAGAAACATCTTCATTTTATGATTAAATTTTTTCTTAAGGTTATGTTAATGGCCAACCCTTCCTTGCAAGATATATACCACAAATCATGCGCCTTGGCAGAAGATCCAGAAAGTATTAGGGAATCTTTTGTTCATCCAACACGTTTGATTAGTTTTCTGGTGGGATTAAAAGGAAAAAATGAAACTATGGCTATTGGTGGACCGTGGTCCCCATCCCTTGACGGACCAGATCCAGACAAAGACCCTAGAGTATTGATACAGACTGCTGTTAGAACTTGTAAGGCTTTGACAGGCATCGACTTAAGCAAATGTACACAATGGTGAGGAATGTTTGCTCCATATCATCTAGTTCATGTTTTTTGTGTAGAAAGGTTTACAAAGTTAATTACATACTTAAAAATCTTAATATCCTTTTTTCATTGTGTATTATATTGGAGTTTGGTATTAGGTATGTCTGAGGTAAAAAATCTCTACATGAACTTTACAGAAACACATAGAAACAATTACACTGACCATATAAAATATGTTGACCCAATTTTTTATATTGTTAACTTTTAAAGAATATTTCAAAATGTTTGCCAGATTTTACTATATGATCCAAATATGACTTATTAGCTTTAAATTGGAAATTGCATTGAATAAATAAAAATAACTGTACCACAAAGAAGGCATTTTGCTTGCACATTTAAGTCCTTGTTTTATTTAAATATAGAAAGCAGATTAATTTTTGCTTAATGATAAATTGATATATATATATAACGTTACATTGCATGCTTTAATCGAACTCCAAAGAAATGCTGTTGAATTTTATCTTCACATAATTATTTCCCTAACTATATAATTTTTAAATGAACAAATTCAAAGTATTTGGGGACAAAATTTATAATAGTTGATTTTTCTGTAGAAAGGCACCTGTATTTTAATCTGATCAGTTATAATGTTGTCAAATACAATGGATTACATTTTATTGGCCCTTGTGTAGTCTGTAGCTAACTCCAAATGTTTGTAATTTGGAGAACACTTTTTACAACATTGATCTATTTTAAATCCTTTCTAAAATAGGTGTATGCTGACAGTTTGAATTTCCATGGCAGTTTTAAAGGCCGGATAGTTTTTTCGTGTTTGTTTTTTGTAGAATGGTAATTGAACATAATTTATAAAATATTTTATTTGTTGTTTGGAAGTATTGCTCTTCATTCCTTTCCAGAAGTGTTGTGAAAGATGATGTGCCAGACTTGATGAACCTCCAGAGAAGCATTTGACTTCATTTTACAGAAACACAACACAACCTGTGCTACATTTTTAATATTTGCTTATTTGATTTTAAACTTTTCTACTTGTACATGTAATATATAACTATGACTGTGTGTGTGTATGTAAAAAATTAAACTGTTAATACATGCTAAATATCTTATCCTATTGAGAAGAACAGTATAGAGTTCAAGATAGGCATTAGAATAATATTTCACTGGTAATATTTCCTCGTCAATTATTTTACATCAGTGCAGTAAAAATAATAATAATATACATGTAACGATATTAGAAGATTTCTAATGAACCTAACAGTATGTACAATTACACACGTATTTTGCAGCTCTGATTGCCAGTGGCACAAGTTGCAGGACCTGCACATTTGGGTTTGGTTCTTTGGATCTTTAATTGTATTTCTACTGTTTATTTTTTTTGTTTCAAATATATAGTGACTTTAAGTGCTGTAGAATAATTACTAAGTTATTTTTCTAAGAATTTGTCTTGTATTATTGCCCTTTAATAGCATATTAGGGCTTAATTTGGAATATATTGAAATAATGTCACCATTTACTCCATGTTAGCAAATTAATATATATTAAATTCTTAAGAAAAATAGATATTATATACCATTATAAATACAGTTTATATTGAATTAGAAGCTAGAATGTATCAATATTATTCTACTTATACATATTTGTGATTTATTTCACTGAAGTATGCTTCAAAAGTTTTACACAGAAATAAAATCAACATATTCTTAGTTTTTAAAGGATTTAAAATTCATTTAAAAGGCTAAAAAAGTAGTCCCAGATTAAGCCCTGATGTGGAATGTATTAGTTTGTTATAAAATTACTTAAAGGCACAAAATATATTACTGTAGTTACTTACTTTATAACAACTAGTTTTTCTATATTTCTTGTGCTGTTTCTCTGACTTTGACTTTTGTGTTTTGTGGGGTGGCAAACCTATAAGTTCCTATCATTAAAAAAACAAGTGGTACTCCTACTTGTTTTTAAATGTTGAAAACACTCACAATAGATCTGAGATTTCAAATTTACAAATTGAAATTATTATGTTTGGTCAGTTTTTGCTATGTTTCTTTCCAGTTTTAAGTAAAAGTTTAATTGGACATACTGTGTTTATACAAGTGAATTTGATGTTATCAGTGTTACAGCTCTTACCCTAATTATAGTATTTTGGCACTTGTGTATAAAGTTAAAATCATAAATAACTGGTACACAATTAGAAATATTTTATTTAGGCCTATCTATGGCCTTCAAAAAGTTGACGACTCTACATGTTTCGACGCTATAATTATAGTAATACATGTAGAGTCATAAAAACATTTTATTTAGACCTATCTATGGCCTTCAAAAAGTTGAATTGTGTACCAGTTTAACATTGAATGTTATTTATGATTTTTAGCTCTTACCCTTTCACTTACAAACCAAGTTGTTCTAGCTTTTCATAGTCTTTCATACTATAGATCTACATTGAAATATTGGTGATTGAAAGCAATTAATTGATGAGTTAATCCAGTTGATACTTAGGCCCAACAAGTTAGCTATACCATAAGTGTATTATAAGAGTGGTGGTCAAATCCAAAATTTCATTTAGAGTAGCCCAAGAGGTTGTAGTGGATAATGTTGATTAACTGCCTTCCATCTAGTGCTACCTAAAATTAGGGATGACTAGTGCAGGTTGCCCTTTTGCATGTATATCAAAAGCAAACAAAACTTTAGGCTTGTGAGTAAAATTTATTTCATTAAAGTTTTATTATTAATGAAATTTATTAAGCATTTTTTATTAAGTATTTTTCATATTGCTTTTAAGTGTTTGAAATATCTTTGATAATATAGCAGTGGATATATCAATAGCCATTTGTTTTAGATTGTTACTTAGTCACAGAAGTTCAGTTAATTTGCTTAATACTGGTAGTAAAACCTCACCAGTTACTGAGTGTTTTTGATTAGGTTAATATCACACAGAGGTTAACTTAATTTTACTCTACTGTTAAATTTTGGTATCTTGTATCCAATAGATTCGAGTTGTATAACATACACATGAAAGTTCCTTTTTTTAGTTACTGGCAATCTTTATTAAATCATAATCATTAGTTTTACTTATGCTTGAAAATTAAGATGACTGAGGTCACTGGCTGTACTGTTGTACTTTTTAATTAAATATGTTGTATTAATTTTAATTAATAAGTCTTGTTTTTACTTGTGAGTTGTGCCTACAGGACGAATGTTGGTTCTAGTTTGTGATTAACACTTGGTAATATAGTTTTCTCATCAGCTTACATACAGTGACATTTTTATTTTGAGTGTTTTCATCATTTACTACATGTGAATATAGTGTTACTTGTGAAAAAAAAAAGATTAGAAAATGTTATAGAATGTGATGATTTATTCATTAGTCAGCAAGAGATTGCACCATTACCATAAGAGCAAGATTTTGGCTATGAAAGAGACAAATGTAGTTTTTTCTTGTCAGCAACTGAAATCCGTGTAACAGATAAATGTACATTTTTAATTGTGTTTACTGAGAAGGTGGATATTCCTTTTTAGTATTCTATATCAAAAAGTGCTAAATGTTAATTGTATAATTTGTTTTGGCAACTTAAGTATGAAAGACTACAGTTTTTGTAAGCTTTTCTGGTGTACCAGACACTCCTCTGCACTTCCATACATATCTGATTAGATTTGCTTTTATTTGAATAATGCATTATTACAAAAAAATCGTGCTTATGTATTTTCTGTTCACACCAACCTAGAGGTTTTTTAAGTTATGTTGCTTTCAAGCAACTGTGCTGAAATCTTACACAAACACAATAACTGTGTAATTTGTTAATTTACTCAGCTCAGTTTGTTTTAGTCATTACATGGATGGATCCTCTGAATTGAGAAATACTTCATTGTTGGTAGCTGTTCAGTTACCTAGAAAAATTATGATTTTTGTTTTGCCATAATCTAATTATGATTAATTTAATGACATTAGGACTAGTTTGCCAGAATTAAGGGGGCTTGTTTATAACAAGTTGAAACATTGGCCAAGTAAGAATAAAATTGCTGGTAGGAATTGCAATCTATAAATTTGTTACTTGACAATAACAGTAGTCATGAACCAAGAGCAAATTTGGACATTTTTAAGGAGAAACAAAACTGTGATATAAAATCAGTTGTAATGTATTCTTTATTACTGTTTTAAAGGGAAAAAGTAGAGAGTTTTAATTAGGCTCGAAGCTCTTTATCCTCAGCCCCCTAGTGGCTTTGTAGTATGCCTGAAGACTTATGATGCTAAAAACTGTGATTTGATACACATGGTGGACACAGCACAGATAACCTATTTTGTAGCTTTGTATTAACAATAAACAAACTTATCGTCATTTTATTTTAATGACTAGAAAAGTCATACTGATCTAGTAAAGTAGTCCGATATCGACTTTACAGGTGTCGCAGATTTCCCTGATTTAAACATTTTGTTTCTGATCTTTAAAAACCACACTTAAAGATTTACCTTTCTATTTATAACTAGAACACAAGTTTTTATAATTTTTAGATTATCTTTATAAGAAATTTATCACTCTATATACTAATTTGTTTTAAATTGAATACAAAATTCAAAGCCTTCCCATCCTACTTCCTTATTTGTCTCCTTCACTTCATTGGATAACTACAGCTTAATTAAAATCTTTTATTTTAGATTTTAAACTTGGGGACATCACTATATTACCAATAATTTGTTATCATTATTTCATTTTATAGTACCAATCAAAACATTTCATCATAGGTTAGTTCTTCTTTAACCCATTTTATTGAAATATATTCTTTTGACTTTTCCATAACTTCAAGATAATGGTGTTTATTGTTTTAATAGACAAGAAGTCTAGTTTTTCTAAAAAGAAAACACTTCCAAGATAATTTTAAGTGAAAAATATCATACTACTAGGGACTTTTCACTTTACAGTACAATTCTCTTTAATGTAAGCACATTAATCCTTTCCCAGTGGCAAAAAAGCACTCTCATTGAAGTTTCGTTGCTAATTTGTAAGCGTTTTGGAAGTTTGAATTTATGTAAGAAAGGCATGCCATTTGAATAATGTAGAAGAAATGCTAGTTTATGTATTATGATTAACTTTTTTGCTGTGATTAGATAATGAAATAAATACTATTACTCTCAGCATGGTAAGCAAACCATATGTCTGTAGATCTTTTGTTGGAATTTACAAGGATTTCCTACAAAACCCAATTAGATATTTTTTTGAAGCTTTGTTCTTTAAAGTATATTACTCTTGTTAATACACTGTGATTATTATTTAGTTATTTATTTTTACATCTTTCCTGTTTCTGTAAAAAATTATTTTCATGATTGTAAAATTAATAATCTTTGTATTATCTTGCCTCCAGAATGCTTAAAAATACTGCTTATGACTAAGTTTTATCTCGAGCTTAAAAAATTGGTCAGTGTTATTTTTGTGTTTTCAGACTTCATATGTAATTTTAAAAAAATCTACAGGTATCAAACACATTTAAAAACTGTATTTGCATGCCTAAATGGGAAAGGATTAAATATCTCAAAGATTAATCTTAATAATCATAAACAGAACATGTTTTTCATCTATCTTGAATATCTTAGCAATAGAAGCATTATTTAATTTATTTGTTACAGTAAACTAAAAAAAACTTTCATTTTGACAAAAACTCTTTGCTAATACAGGTAATTCTAACAATTTGCATTAATAAGTAATTAGCCTCAAAAATGTAAGTATTATTGAATAAATAAAGTGCAGCCACACCTCTTTTTATTTTTATAGTAATTTATCTTGGGTAAATGAAGTGAGAAGTTGTAACTTGCAGAAACAAAACCCTGGAAGTTTCTCTTCTTCATTTTTGGGTGTAATTGATTTTTTTCCCCTTATTTGTAAAAATACAAAAGTCAGTTAACATATTGAATCACACTGAAAACGTTTTGGTCAGTCGTATTTTTTATTTTTTTGTGATTTTTCTTAACCCTTTAGTGAAGGTTATTCACAGGGACAGTAGGCTTCGTGTGAGTTCAGCCAGAATGAAGTTCCAAAACAGCTGGTATTGGAATAACAAACATGTTATGGTTGTTGTGAGAGAATTTTCTAAATTTCAAATACAAGTTTTATGAGCTTTCAGAAAATTCTTGTTGAACCCACTGAAGTACCTAATGAAGCTTGCCCTAGATTTAGGTTTTGGTAAAATAGCTGTCCCTCTATCTCTCTTTGACCCTACTCACAGGTATCGATTTGCTGAGATCTACTACCGACGCGGAGAGTCCAACCACAAAGGCCGCTTGTATCCTGCGCGTGTTGAAACAGTGGTGATTTTCTTGCCAGACGTATGGAGCTGCCTGCCCACCCAGCTCGAGTGGGATGGCTTGGTTTTCCAGTACAAAAATCAGCTTCAGAGGAAACTCCACGAAGACACGGAGGAGGCAATTGAGACCCAGGCAGTGATCAACCCTGTTTTCTTCTCTGTATCTTGAACCTCTGTCTCTAGACAGGGTTCATCTTTTTAAATATTGGGCTGGATAACTCTGATTATGCAGCTCACTTTTCAACTAGCCAAGATCTCTCAAAATTACATAGAAAAAAATAAAATTTTCATTTAGAAGTTTGGATTGTTTTAATTCTTCCAGTACAAGTTAAATCTATTTCTAAAATGTGCTATTTTGTTGGTGTTTGCTAGAAAATTGTAGATCTTGGCTGGTTCTTATCTATACTTAAAGGAACAAACAAACAGTAAATTAATCTTGCTTACTTTCTTAATCTCTGACAAGGTTGGGTTTGTGACAAGGTGGACTTTAGAAGAGATTTCCAGCATCTTATAAGATAGATATCCAATACTTAAGTTTAGGCTGTTAAGGTTTTTACAATAGGATGAACGCCGTGGTGATGACCTTGGATTAGAATAGATCCCAGGAGCCATTCTGGAGGTTTGCTGCTGCTGATGTGAACCTGTCATGTTATCTCTTACCTTCAAATTTAGTTATAGTCATTAGTTTTTTTCTAACACCAAGCCTGGATTATTCATACATCAACATTTACACAATCTATAATTTGTATACACTTTTGTTGGGTAGCTATGCTGGATTTTGTTTAATTTGACTTAATAATGACTTTAATGTGTACATAAAAGAGAACAGTTAATATGCTGTATTCTCTGACTTCCTAATACACACTTTAAACAACATCTTATTAACACTTGTATTTTTCTGAATAGTAATTGAAAGTTGTCTTCTTAAATGTTTTAGGAAGATGAGGAAGGTAATCAAGAGGAGCAGAGCAAGAAGGAACCAACTCATCATTCTGAACTGGATCCAAAAACAATGAAGGTATGGTTTTTAGCTTAATTTTGATATGACTTATACAGCCCCCTATAAGTGCAAATGTTTACTGGCCACTAGCCTTGATATTCATACCTACCCTCATGTGTATTTACATGAGACATCTGCATGCTATCATGCAAATGATTGTGCTGTAACCCTCCACCAATAAGAATGAAACACATCTCCTATCATCACTAGTGCCTTCTTGTCTGTGTAGCCCATAATCACTTCTCAATTGAAAGTCTTACTGTTCGGATGTGTTTTCTCTTGTGTTTTCCTACCAATTTTTTCAATTTTTTTTATTTGCTCAAGTTATAGTTTAAATATCCTGTTTCCTTTTTCTAGTCTATTCCTCACAGTTGCGTGTTATTTTAGGGAAGGTGTCCAGGCCTCCATTCCCATTTGTGGACCTAATCCATCAGATATATTATGTTTTATCGTTATCTCCAGTTTCCTACTGCTGTTCTCAGTGACGAGCCATTGGGTCAGTATTTAGTGTTTCTTAACCATATCAGGATATTGGGGCTCACGTGAGTCATTTTGGGGACGGTTGAGTTTGGGTGTCAGTGTGCTATGACCCCCACCCACTTACTTTGGGTGACCATGCTCTCTCATGTCATTGTTCTGACTTCCCCTACTTGTTGGTCATTCTACTGTAGACCTGATGTACAATTCCAGATACTGTCAGGTGTTGGATGATGCAACCAACTGAGGCACCCTCTTTCTTACCGACTCCTGGATGTCGATTCCCAGCAAATATAGTGATGATTGGAGCTGGACCAGCCACATAAGCCCTTACGTGTGAGTGGCTGGGTACCCTCCTCCCACCATGGACTGGATGATACATTCCCAATGCCACCTGGTGATGGACTGGAGATGAACCCCATTTTGCTGTCCACCTTCCTACTGTACCCCAGATGTCGGTTCCTGGCAGATATGGTGATGGTTGTTTTAGATGTATGCACAGGCTGAGACAAGTCCTTGGAACAAAGGCTCCTCTTCCATGAGCTGGATATTTCTGGTGTTGGTTGAGGTAGACCTCCCATTTATGGTCCAACAAGCTCTAGCCACTTTACACTGGGGGTCCCTTTTTTTCACTCGTGTGGCCGGGTACTCTCATCCTACTGTGAACTGGACAAAACATTCCTAATGCCATCTGGTTTTGGACTGGAGATGCACCCCACTTTGCTGTCCACCTTCCTACCATCCTAATGCGAGGTAGGTCCCTCCCCTGTTTCTGCCCTTATTGCAACACATTTTCATGTGGGTGAAGAGTATACTTGTCTCAGAAGTAGTATGGCCTCCTATGGGGTGTTGCCTTCCATTATATTACCATGGAAGTAAGATATCATATCAGAAGTTAACATTTTCTTAAACTGGAAATGTATTTCCTATAGATACATACCTCCTTTCCCAATTCTAATTTTACTGCCCAATCTCAAGGTTATTAAAGGCTGTATGGAAGAGAGGCCACTAGCAATGATAAGAGTTATGTCACACTTCTATTGATGAAGGGTTGCAGGATGATCATTTACATGATAGCATGAAGATGTCTCATGTGAGGCTAGGTAGAAGTATCAAGGCTAGTTGTGAGTGAAAATGTATGCTTATAGAGGGGAGTATAAGTTGAGAAAAGCTATTTGTGAGGGGGAGGTAAGCATTTATTGGAAATGCATTTTCAATTTAGGAAAATGTTAACTTTCTGAAATTATTTTTTGTTAAGGTTTTGCAAAGAAGACAGGTAAATATTACATGGATTTACTTCTTTGCAATGTTTGTCATTGTGTTCTTAATAACAAATTTTATGCATTTCACTTTCTTGCAAAGAAAACACAGTAACTTTGTCATACCATTTATAATCACTATAACAGGAGTAAAAAGCCAAAATAATTATGAACTCTAGGTTCTCTTTAATTGTAAAAAGTGTATTAAACCCGTTAAACTTAATAATAAGTACAGTTAGCAGGGATCAAAAAATAAATCATAGATTCTTTATTTTAGTGTGAAAGTAGTAGAAAAAAATGTCTGTTCCAGGAATCATTAATTTTGACTGCAATTCTGATATAAATATAAGATTAAAGCCTACAGTTTTTACATTTTGTAGGTGAATGACCTTCGTAGAGAGCTAGAAGCAAGAAACTTAAGTACTAAGGGTTTGAAATCCCAGTTGATAGCTCGATTAACCAAAGCTTTACGATCTGAGTCAGAAAAGGAAGAACAAGAAGAAGCTGAACATGATGAAACTATGGAAGATAGTGAAAAACAAGATTCTACTGAAGAAGAAGAGAAGAAGAAAAAAGAGGTTTAAAATATGATTATAAAGTTGTGTTTTGGTCATATTATCATTGCAATTAGTTACAAACTTTGAAAATTTTGTGGTCAGATATAGGTATTATATAAATCTATTTTAGACTATCTTGTCCACCTTAACCCTTTCCATACATTTATATCTTTTCTGCATGCGTCACAACCTTTTTACAGTTATATTCAAAGTTTAATTCAACTATTATCAATGTATACGAATAAACATGGCATCAAAATATAGTTAATAAATTGAACTTTAATGTTATACAAGTTTTAAGTTCTTAATTTTATTAGGAAATATTTTTAAAAAATCCTCAATCTCTCCTAATATGAGAATTGTGACATTTGCTCTCTAGGTCTACCTTCTTTTCTAATTTATTTACCACCCCTCCAAGAAGTATGGAACTTAACATAAATTACTTATTATAACATAGATATTATTCAGGCAAAGCATTGATTTTGTAGTCTTCAATCTTGTTTGTTTAGTGAGTCATAAGACAGAAAATCAGATCCACTTTCACATCCTCTCTTTCACAAATTGCCAATAGTTTATTCTGACTTTTATACTATATTATTTACAGTCAACAGAAAGCCAGAGTTTTACTTTATTAAATAACATACTATATTATGCTGTTTTCTGTACAGAGAATTGTCTGTTTCTCTGTCAGTTCAAACTTTATTCCCACATTGATAAGCTTAACTGAATTATTAATGGCTCTTATCCCAGTTGGAAAGCTAGAAAAATTGATAGTTATAGGACATTGTCTTCCTTTTACATGTTATTACTCTGTGTTCTTCATTGCATTATTTAATTAAATAAAAAAATTAGTGTAGTAGTACCATTAGTATTCAAAAGTAAGCTTAAATTTCATCAACAGTCAACAACATAAAACAAAAGAAAACCCAAATGAATACTATATTTCTTGTTTTTCATGTGTATTTATTTATTATTATAAAAGTAACTAAAATGTAAAAATTAGGAACTTATTAAGTCATATACGGTTAGATTAGGTAAGATGATGAAAAAAACATTTTTCACAAGTTATGCTCTCGAACAGCTCATTTGTATTATGTAATTTGAAATAGTAACATGAGGTGCATGTTCGCTGAGTGATTTATAACTTTTGTGGTGGGATTATTAGTTAGACATGGTTCAAATGTCAGTAAAATTATAAAATTAAGTATAAATAGATATATACTGTTATGAGCTTTATGCTATTTAGGATAAACAACTGTGATTTCCTCTCGCAATTTGCAGTAATTATAGAAAGAAAAAAAGGGTAACTTAGGTTTATTTCCAAAATTCTTATGGTGGTTATGAGGTCGATCATATCAACAGACCCCGTATAGAATTAGAGTAAAGAAAATGACAGATAATATATAAAGTTTTTCTGAAATAAACATTTGTTATTTATGTAGGAGGTTTTAGAGGTTATGCAAATGATATTTGAACATTTTCAGATTAAGAAAAATATTTTTAACCTAAAGATGAAAATCACTTTGCTCCTGGTGCAGTCAATACTCTGATTCCCTATATTCATGGGACAAATTTTTAGAAAATACTTAGTTAAAAATTTTGATTTTTTTTTCCCAAAAAATTTGTAACATTTACCAACTGTCAACGAAATTTTGTGGAGGTATGCATAGATTATCAAACGTTATAGTATGACTAATCTAATCCTGTATGGAAAGAAATGAAAAACCGGTTTAAATAGGTATAGTTAACCTGTCACAAGCATTTTACTGAAATCCCCCTGCCCATGTACATTGTAGAAACTGCTCATTGGCGCCCCCTTCAAATGGCGCCCAGGGTATGTACCATATCTTAGATATGCCACTGCATTAAACTGCCTTTGTGGCAGTCATCAAACTTAGTCAGATATGAAATTTTCTTGAAGTTAAAACTGAACCTTGTTGGGATTTGAAACCATAATTGTTCTTAATAGGGAGATGCTTTTTAATGTACATGGTTACTGCACCTCAAAACTTGGCAGGAGCTCTTTCAACCAGCTCGTAAGACTTAGAATCTATCAATTACCTGTTTTGGCATGAAAGTACTAATTTTTTTAGTGTGTTAATAATAGGAGGTTTTAAGGGTAGCACACTGTTCTCTATAACAATTGAAGTAAAGACCGAGATGGGCAGCATTCAGAATGTAGCAGCTCGGCATTTTGAATATCTGCCCATTAATACAGTCATGCTTGGTTTTTGAATTTCATTTTATGAATATATATTGAACTTTATTTCTAACATTTTTATAATTAATTAAACACAACTGATTGCTAATAAGTGCATAAAGCTTTTAAATATATCCTATGAAAATAAGGTAGTTGTATGATGGTTACATAAGCTTAACCTTTTACATTTGATTTATAGAGGTGTACACTGCTTAGGTGAAGCCTGCCAGTTTTTCTCAGCATTATTTCTTCTTTTGTAACAAATAGAATAATTTGGTCTGTGATTGTAAGATAATTATGTTTCATTTGATTGGTGATTTTTATGTGACTAATTCTCATTATGTTTTGCACAGACCTGTAAATCAATTTGTCATGAAAATGTAGCATTTATTCCTCATGTACACACAATAATTGCTAAAAGAATTAAGGGTCATTTAGTATGCATTTAAAAAAATTCTGGCAGTTTATTCAATTATTCATTTAAGCTTTGTAGTATAAAGAATAATATATAAGGCATCTTCAACTATAGCCACGAAGCAATGTTAATATAATATTTTCAAAGATATTTTTGATTGAGTATAAATTTATTTGAGCAATTCTAAAGTAAGGGAGGGCACCTTGTTCATACAAACAGTTACTGTGATCACTTATTTGTTGTGACTTGAAAAGTTTAATCTGTGTGATTAAAAAAAAGTAATATCGTAAAAGATATTTCATTTTGCATTGTATAATCAGAAATAAGATGAATGTGAATGATGTTTTTTTTTAATGTGCATTTTACAGCTTTAAAGGTGAGTGTATTGAAAAGCTTTGCTTTCCAGGAAGAAGACAAAAAGCAAAAAGAAGAACAAGAGAAAGCAACATTGGAAAAAAAGTACATTCTTCCAGACTCGCCTGCTGTCATTGTCCATCCTTCACGATCAGCCAAAAATGGAAAGTTTGATTGCACTGTGATGTCTCTTTCTGTTCTTTTAGATTATAGGCAAGAAGACAACAAAGAAAATTCATTTGAAGTGAGTGTATTTTAAACTAAATGTTTATAACAGAAAATACTAGGGTTAGTTAACAAATCTTGAAGATAACATTAGACTTCACAGACACATAACTTTACAAGCTTTATATTTATATTAGATTACAGCTTTGATTTAGCTCGTTATGATGAACATCATATTCAGTTAGTAACATTTTTGTTGTTTTGCCAACTGACACACAAATATGAGCTTAAAACCAAGGTTTCTTGATGTATCACATGATAAACTTAGTTATTACTTGATGATTTTGAATGTTATGGTCTAAGATACATAAGAAAATTATATTGAAACAAATCCTTAACACCATTGAAAACATTTATAATTTTTTGTTGAAAACATAAATTGTGTTGTTCTTAGCAGAGTATTTTGCTCGCCAATTTTTTTTTGTGAATACTCTTTTTAACTATAATGTTGATTGTGTTGAGAAAGTACTGGAGTGACCAACTGACCAATAAATTCTTAGAAAAAAATTGTTTGTTAAATACCAGGAAATATAAGATTAATTCAAACACAAAAACAAATAATAACTGAAGCAGGAACGTTGAAAACAAACTGTCACAAAAACATTAGCATTGCTGGGTAGATCTTGTTCTGGCAACCTAATCTCTGTCAAGGATAAATATCTCTTCTGAGAGCCACCCTACTTTTATATATTCAGATTTTTTATTTACCCAATATAGTTTTGTTTAAAAAATTTTTTGCCATCCAAAATTTTTTTATTTTTTTTTGCTTTAGTGAGGAGAATGTGTCATTCTCTGTAGAAAAAGCAATGTATAGAGAGATTAAACTTTATAATTTTACATTTTTAAGCATTTACTTCAAAATTTCAATAATATTTTAACTTTCAGTTTGTAATTTATGTTGATTATTTTTAAAAGGTTTCCCTTTTTGCTGAATTATTCAATGAGATGCTAATGAGAGATTTTGGTTTCCACATCTATCGAGCTTTGGTTGATGCTCCGGAAGTCAAAGAAGAAGATAAAGTAAGCCTAAAAAATATTAACATATGGTGACTTTGTTCGTAATAAAATTTTATGAAAAGGAGCTCATTTAAAAATAAAAAAAGGGAAATGTTTTTCACAGATAATAGGATGAAGAAGTGGAAAGTAATAAATGTGACACTGTAATAAGAATGATGATAATATTATTTAATGAATTTTGTTCGTATAATATTTTATTAACACATTAAAAATCCCCCCCTTCCTCCCAAAAGAATGTGATCTTGAAAATATTGATACGTTGAAAATCTAAAAGTAATGGTAATACCATTTTTGTTCATTATTCTTTTGTATTTGATATATAACTATGTTAATTTACTTAAGCTCTGTAACATAGGTTTTATTTTGTGTATCTATGAGATACAGTACAGAGAGTTCATGATCTATGGTAACAGTTTGTATATTCATCTTGCTATTGGCCTTCTTTGTGGCCTGTGATTATACATAAAAGCCTGACTGTTGTGTTGCAATTGAGCTCAAATGTTATGTGATTTGCATATGCAGGTGGTATCTAAAATTGACCTATTTTGGGAGAGTTTTAACTTCCAGTGTTTCTACACAAAGGTCTTCTATTCCATGATTATAATAGTATGGAAGCCACATCATTTCATGTTTTGAAGAAAAGGATACTGGTGGTGTTGAACTATGTTAGTAAAAAAAGAGAAGGCATGATTCCAGCGAGTAAAAAAAAGTGGTCTATTTCACAACAGGCTACTAGTTGCACATAGGAGATAATGAAGAAAACCCAAAAAACGTCACTGAAATTAACCCAAGAACATAGCAGTCTACTGCAGCTTAAATAAGGAGCTTTCTTGTAACTACAAATAATAAAATTCATAGGAATTTACGTCTGTAAAAAATCTAAGTTAAACATATAAGGTCAGCTGTTGAAAGCTGTACCAACAGTATCTGACAAATGGAAGTATGTTATTTTATTGAACAAAGCATATGTCTTCTTAATTGTGCAAAAGTCTGGGTGGTTCATTATCTTCCCGTTGATGATACAATATTTCAATAATGGTACACAGTATGTTGCAGATGTTTGCTGAGGAATATATGGTGGTTGCAGGATACTATAAAGGTAAACTAAACATTTAAAGAGTCAAGAAAAATGCCATGGTAGACTAACATACTGACATCACTGTTCTGGAAGTAAATACCATCTTTGTATGAATTGGATGCCTATAAGATTGCTCCATCAAGACAAAACATCAAGCCAAAGCCAGTTCATTCACAAGATGCAAGTACAAATGGAAATTCATGCTAAACCATTTGCAGACATATCCTGTGGACTTCTGTGCCTTTGGTTTGTTCAACTACATCACTGTTCTGGAAGTAAATACCATCTTTGTCTGAATTGGATGCCTATAAGATTGCTCCATCAAAACAAAACATCAAGCCAAAGCCAGTTCATTCACAAGATGTGAGTACAAATGGAAATTCATGCTAAACCATTTGCAGACATATCCTTTGGACTTCTGTGCGTTTGGTTTGTTCAACGATTATTTCTGGATGCATGGTTGATAGATTTTGAAAAATTGACCTCATTGTATTGTGCAAATGCTTCCTGCTATGGAAATTGTGTAGCAGAGCATTATTTCATAACCAGTGCCATCCGTAGAATACTGACAGTGGTGGAAGAAAGAGGCTCTGAGACCTAGGTTCTCGTTCTTGTATTATTACTATAGATCATGAATATGACTCTGTATTTCATTTAATTTGGCAATAATTATCAAAAATGAAGAGGTTTTGCAAAAGAACAGTGTTAGTGTAACTTTGATTTAAGAAGAAAATATGGAACTTGTTAAAAAATAGAAATATAGTGCATTGGTGTAGAAGCAAGGGCAAATTGTGTATGCAATGAAATAATCCACATGTTCATAAACTAAATGTACCAGAAGTAAGACAAGTGAAATGGAGAGATGAATAGTAAATAGTGCCTCATTTTATATATTTGCATATTTTATTTTTAACATTCAGAAAAGTTTGGAAGTGGAGTATGTAGTGAATAAATGTAATATACAGAATGACATGGTAGCCATTGAAACTAATATAACAGTATTGTATTTTGTATAATAAATACTCTTCTCATATCAGCATATAATTTTTATACCGATTCACCCTGGAGAAATAAACATACATTATATTGAGTTAGCAAAACCATAGTTTAGAATCTGTAGTACCTTATACAGTTTTAGATGCAAAAATGGGAGCCAAAAGTATATGAAATATTTTTCAATTTATACATTTGAAGAAAAATGTAAACAAACAAAAATCATCATTATCATCACGGACATTAAACAGTTTTGAAAATAATCATACTCGTAACTTGAGTTATTTTGAATAGTTGACTGCTCTTTATTCGGGAGAATAACAATGTTTATAGCTAATTAGCATTACAGAAATTACACATATGCTTCAACTTAACTCAGTTTTACTTGAAAGTACCATGGATATGTAAACTAGTTTTACACAAGGTACTACTGAACTAGTACATTTGATATTTTGTCATGTTGACTACTATTTATTCTTGTTATATTCTGTAATGCACATGGAGATGTGAAACAAATATGACTTGCCACACTAAGAATACTTACAAGCAAAAAGAAGACGTATTTTAAAAGTTTAAAATTAAAGAAAAAGGCTTTTCTTAGAGTGCCCTAGAAAAAATAAATAACTGCCTAAGTCTGCTCTTTTTGTGCATGCTCTGTGAGACCAATTTTATAAAAGTATTCCATTGGTCCAGAGGCAATATTAAGTTAGATAAATCAGTTCCAGGAATAGTCAAACATTAAAGTGGAAATATTTATATTAAACAATCATTTTCTTTAGTATCGTAGCTGTACCAAAAGAGTAAAAAAACATAAAGATTAGTTTTGTTGTTCCCAACTGTCATTACATACCAAATGTTTAACACTTTGGTGTCATTTGGCTTCTTTGGTATCTCTTCTAAGTTCAAATCAGTAGGTATGCAAATGTTCTTACCAATGCAGAAATATGCATTGGGTATTATCCAGAAATCGGTGACAATCTGATTTCAAAATTAACTATCTGTAAAACATTTGAAAAAGAAGGAAATGGTATTTAGGTGTTACCTCACGAGTTGAATTCCAAAATAAACTAAATCATACTCTGTATGTAAACTTTAGATATTTAGTCTTCAGTAATCACAAAAGTTAATAAACTGTTATCAGATATATTATTTACTGGTCATCCAATCATTACAAGAAAAACCATTTTCATCAGGCAGATTTTTTTATGTTACAACATTTTTAACCCTAATATCAACATTTGTTCGTATTGAGTGTTGACTATTTCTGTGAGTAGTTCTTAGGGATGAAAACTTTAAGGTTGCCTTTTGACCCTAAAGTAGTTCATATCCAGAAGTAACGTTGTTCATTGTAGGAACTTGTATCCTTGATTATCGGTAACATCTTTAAGTACTTTAGTATATTTTCTATTGAATGGAGAAAAAAAAGAGAAATAAATTCCCATTTATTGTTAAACAGAGAGTATTTTGTAATGGATTAAAAATGTCACTCTAATTCATTGTGCACATACAGACCATTTTTAATGCTACATATAAGGACAATAATCCATCATGGCATGTAGTTCATTAGAAAATATTGGTGCTTTAGTTAATAGATGCTATAATGTTAACATTTGTTACAGATATGGCCATAAAACAGATAAGCAAATTTATAGATCTAAAGTTTTGTGCAACTTTCTCTCATGCTCTGTAACTTTAGAGCTTATAGTTGATTTTTATATGTATGTTATGAAGATGCAGTATATATAGCAATAGTATGCTTAATTGCTTCGATTGTACTTGGTATCTGTGTGTATTGTATTAATTTGGCTTCTAAGTAGTTTCCCTAATTCTTCAAATAAATTGTGTGTGTATGTGTGTAAATATGTATGTGTGATATGTAATTGACAGTTTGAATAGTAATTCTAAGGAAAAAATTTCTGTTCTTAATATCTATACTGTAAACACATTTATCAAAAGATTTCTTGAATATTTTTGTGTCACCTTTTGCTGTAAAAACAACAACAATAATACACTTGCTATTTGTTATCACTTGTCTTGAGTCCCCCCTGGTGGGTCAGTGGTAAGTTTACGGATTTACAAATCTAAAATATGGGGTTTAATTTCCTGCAGTGGATAGAGTGCAGATAGCCCCTTGTGTATCTGTGTGCAAAAAAACAAAACATCACCAACACTTGCTTGAGAAAAATTCACAATCAGTACAAGCATTTTAAGTTTAGATCTTCTACAGGAATTATTACAGGTACTTGTAGCTTCACCATGAGACACTAACTGTATTGAAACACATTTTTATGTTGGCAAGCACAAACATAGCAAATATAGTAGTGCTAAGTAAATTTAAAACTCTGACACTGTTCCCAGATTTTAGTAGAAAAGTATTTGGTTGAATAAAAGATGTTAGTATTAAATATACCTCTTATGTATATGCTTAATCTTGAGATTGTATATAAATTTCTGCACGCAAGTTCTATCTTAAAGATAATGATAACCAAACAGTCTAACTATGAAAACCCTTTTCAACACTTTTACTAATCTGGTGTACTTTATGCATGAAAGTATTTATTGGGCCTGTGGTGTTTGCTGCTTTATTTAGAGGCCTGAAAAGTGTTTTGCTTTACAGGAGAAGAAGAAAGAAACCAAGAGGAATGAAAAGGTTAAAACCATTTAGTGTTTTTTGACTAATAATGTTTTTAAAATTTAATATAGATTATTATTGCATGCATTTGACATGCTTAAAGCTAACATTAATTATAACAGGTTTATACATTATTTCATTAAGGAAGCTTTTTTTTAATTGATTTGTCTTATTTTAATGCGAGTGTTCATTATAATTTATTTTGCTGTATTTTGAGGATTGAAGGTTGTGAATTTGTAGTAGGTTCTGGATTTAGTTCACAGCTTATACATGTAGTAAGTTTACTGAGTTGAAAATTTTCAGATAGGCTTTGGTAGTATCATTATCGTAGATTATGTTAATCTTTTCTCTCTTTCAATAAGTTCTCAGTTTATTTAGGTTTTAACTTTTCAGTATTTCATGGGACTGTTAAATATAGAAGTTTAAGTCCTTCAAGACTTTAATGTGCCTTAGAATGGAGGAAAGCATTAGGATTAAAATTTTACAAAAAGAAAGCTAATTGAAAAACAAAACAAAAACTTCTTAACTGCTTGTAAAATTCTGATGTGATAATGTGTGTGTGTGTGTGTGTACGTATGTGTGTTGAACATATTTTGGATAAAATAAAAGTACATATGGCTTATTAACACTTAGTTTTATGAAATGTCTTATTACTTCCACTTTGCCTTTGTTAATACTTACTACAATGTTTTATAGAATTATCATAAACTTCTAATTTGTTCTGCAGTAGTACAAACTTTTAACCTAGTTTTATGGAGAATTATCTTTCTATACTAATTGCTAATGGATGATTTTAAAAACTAACTGCTGTAACAGAGAAGTTGGGATAATATTATGGTTAAGTTGTAGAATATTTTTCAGACATATGTGAGAGCATTACAGAAACTCTAAATACTACTGTTTTTATTAGCTTGTGAGAAATTTATTCAAATGAACTAACACAACCATACAACTGTGTAAGTAACATTTGAGGCATAGTGTAAGAAACTGTACTTCTGAGTACCAGGAAACACATTGATGCTGATATGCATGACACTGCCGTTAGCATTTTCCTGGATATCATAATAGACAGGTGTGTTTCATAATTGGTCATTTTCATTGTAGAAAATGTGCTGAGCCTATAATAGAATTGTAGAAGCTTGTTTTACCATTTTCAACTTGATCTGTTAATGTTCAATGTTAAGCCAAGATGTAGAAATAATGGATAAGTAATCATTGATTAAAGGTCTGATTCATATTGCACTTATTGAAATATATTTTACAATTACTACCTCTACATAAAGATATATTTTTATACTTTAAATACTTGCTACGAATCTCTCCTGCACTTTCTTGTTCGCACATTTTTGAGGTTATTCATTATATTCTTACTTGAAGGATGTATATATTTTTATGAGCCACTTTTTTCAGCCACTTGCAATTCTAGATCTATGCATGATCTTTGAAATTGCTGTGTACACTTACTTTTTGAATCTTACTATGTTTTAGTCATGTGTGGTTGTAAACAAGGTTTAGTAATATAATCACTGCTTTTGAATCTTACTATGTTTTAGTCATGTGTGGTTGTAAACAAGGTTTAGTTATATAATCACAGCATTATTTGTAACTTGTAAGCAACTTTCTACATCTTACTTTTTTCTCAGTGGCCTTTCGCTTACTTCTGAGTTTAATTGCACTTTATAAGAAAGATATTTCAGGACCTGTGGTGTCTTTCGAGCTACTTTCTTCATTGTTGATCATTCTTTGTCTGATGGATATGAATACACACTATTTCCTGACACAGCAGTTTACATTGTAACAAGTTTCTGCCTAGGGTAGCAAGGTCACAAATCTTGACAAACTTTCCACAAGCCCTCTACTGTATGTGGATATAAGCTTCCAATGCCATGTTTATGCAAAATAATGACACAAAAATTCATTGGAGTTGTATCGAGAGGCATGACAGGTGTGTGGTCAACTGTAAGTACTGTTGTTCCAGTTTCTTCAATTCTCAGTCTTATGAAAAGGTTTTTAAATCTTGCTTGTGAACCCTTATCAACTTCAATTCCTTGTTTATTACTGTGTTAACTATACCAAGAAGTATACTTTATTACAAGGGTTTTTTGGGTCTCATAATTCTCTGTTTGTAATCACAGCTTTCACTATTTGGGTGAGGGCGTTACACTGGATAGACTTTGAATGTGGTTTAGGAGCCGGTTGCTATCATTGACTGCTTTCCTTTTCTCAGAATTCTATGTAACTTGTCCCTGCATTATTTAACAGTCTTGTGGTATGAATATTTCTTTTTGGTAAGGTTTTGTAATTCTCTAGCTGTATGGAAATTTTAACAGTATTGCACTGTCATATAATGAGGAATTCACCATAAGCCAAGTATGTAAATGTACATATCACCTAGGGCACCATATTATTGAAGTAGCTTATATAAATTTTTCTGGTACAATTAACCTTCTGTAGTCCACTTCCCTTTTTTTTTTTTAAGAAGGATTTTTTTGTGCCTTGATTTTTCTTTGCTAGTTAAGGAAAGAATATTTTCTTCTACTGTTTTTGATAAAACTTCAAATTAATGTTTCTAGTTTTCTTATGTTAACATAATAACTATTCTTTGCAGTTTATTCTTCCTTATCTCAGACCAAACTATTTGTTGTTGTTTGGCAAGTTTAGTTTAACTTTGTCAGTTCTTATCTGTATCAGGATCTAGTTGGTTGGCCTATTTCTATCTCAGTATCCTCTGTAATCTGACATCAGTATTTTGTTTAGAGAATTAAATGAACATGAAGACCCTGGGATTAAATTTTCCATTTCTTAAAGCTCTAATTCACTTTCCTCTTTTTTTAACCTATTAATAATGATTTTGTTCAGTCTTGGACCTGGAGCATCTTCTTTTGTCATGTTTTATTTTTCTTCTTTTATTACAAGGAAATATTATTTTCATCTTCCCATTCTCAGTGGTTTATTTTCTGGATCATAAATCTTGTTTCAGAGGATTTTCTTTGTGCCCAGGTCATATTTATTTGAAAGACACTGATCTCTCTGCTTTAGTTTTGCTTTATGAACCTGCTTTTTTATTCTGTTATCAATGTCTGGTATTAATATTTTACTTGTTTAACCACTGTGTAGGATGAGAAAGATGAGAAAAAGAAAAAAAGTGAAGAGGGTGAAAGTACAAAAGAAGATGAGGATTCTGGAGAAGATAATGGAGACGTAGACAGAAAAGATACAAAAAGTGGTAATTTCCAAATTTTTGTGGGTAGAACAGAAGTTAAAAAATAAAATTAACATTTCTAAAAACATTGTTATTCATAAAATATTTTAATTTTAATAATCTTAGTTCCAAAACATATCTTTGCATTCTTTGAGAACTGGAGGGGGAGGGAGTGACTGTGAGATGGCTCAGTCTGAAAATGCTTTTTTTTTCTTTTTCTCTCTCTCTCAGCAGTTTATGCTCGGGAAGATGGGGAGTGAATGGGTGGATTCCACAAGGGAATCTTTTGAACTTAACATAATTTACATTTAATGTAGTTAGTATTAAGATAGAGCTAGTAGTATTCAATATTGGAAAATTGAAGAAAAATGATATACGTGTGTGATATCACACACGTACATCACAATAACAATGGTGTGACATATATTAAATCTTGTTACGTAGTATTACACACAAATTATTACAAAGTTCATGCTTTGCCAGATACACATTATGTATCCTTTGCAACAACCCACAAGTCTGCTTTATTTTTGTTTCCTTCACTATGAAAATGTTATCTGGCCCAAGTGCCACTGGACATTCAACATGTTATGACTTGTCTTATAAATGAGAAATATAAATAGTGTCTTAAAATATTATGTGTTGTAATCTAGTAGACAACTTTATGGTTTTGAATAAAAAACCTAGTCAGTATTAGTAAAACTGTGAAACAAATTCTCGTCTAGAGTGGAGGCTGCAACTTAAGAAAGGAGATGACGAATATTTGAAGGATTACAGCTTGTTTTAGTAATTAGTCAGGACATCCTTGATGAGTCAAAGGACCCTTGAAGTCCTGTAATTTATAATACAATATGTGATATATTACAATCATCTTATGACCTTTGTTTTTTATATTTTGTTGGTTTTTTTTTTTACTACATGCATTCTCATGGCATGAGATTTTCACTCCCCTATCGCCACAGGTATCCTTTACTGAGCATGACACAAGTTTTTAGTGTCTTACATTCAAAATTTTATTAAACTACCAATTAGAATAGCATACAATCTTAGCTAATAATCCATATTTTAATAGTATATAAGTTTTACGTTCTTAACTCTACAAGGCAATATTTTAAAAAATCCTGAATTTCCCCTAGTGTGACACATGTGACACGCTTTCTTTTGACATGTCATATTCCATATTTTATCCACCACCCCTCAAAAAATTACGAAATTAAACGTAAATTACTCTCTATAAACTTGTCATTGCTCAGACAAACCAT